TTTACATATCCTATCTAAAGATCACAACGGAAACACAATGCTAACAGAGGCAAAACGATAACCGCCAAAACCATACCCTATCCCGCGGCACATACATGTATATGGGAGTACCCCCACCTCTGGGTATTTAAAGTGGATATTGTTCTGCAATGTCCTCTATCAACCGTCCAAAACAGCCACTCGGGTGAAGCTCACCATGCCATCTTCTCCACATGAATTCCTTAAGGTATTCTTGTAGGAAGTTAGGATTTATGTTCCCTTTCATCTTCTTAAATTTGTCCTTTGCTGCAGACCAATTGCTCTCTGCGTGTTGTGTGTGGACACCGGTGATTGGGTCTACAAAGTTAACCGAGTGATTAACCGTTTGATGATTGAAACCCAAGACCCTTTGCATTTGCCTGTATGCCGCCCATTCATCAGTATAAACCAAAGAGCCTGGTTGTACGTGTCTTTGGATAATGGTCAAAAGAGTACGCGCATCTCGCCTTCTCACAAGCTGTAAATACGGTCGAGCGGGGTCATACTGTGTGTCAAAAAGCCCAAGAACCCATCTTTCTCCTCGAGGTCGACGTCCCCTTTGGAACTGTGCGTAAGAAGAGACAAATTTGATATATAGAAAAAAATTAAGAAAGACTGTTTCCTAGCAGGTGCAGGACATAAGTGGGTATTATAAACTGAAATACAGTTGATGTAATGTTTCGTATGTATTTTAGTTGATATGTTTTCTGTTGTAAAAAAGACCTGAATGAAATACAATGTATACGAGGCATCGAGGTGAATCTCTTTATGGGCACATTTCTTGATGACACATTTATTGTTAACATTTTCAAGGTAAAATGCGCACAGTTTTTGACATTTTGGCTCTACTCTGGCTACAGGTTTTGCCGAAGATTTTGGGAATGATTCGGATGGCGCTATTTTTCTGTGGAAGGCACTATGGTGAGATCATAGCCATTTGCGAGAAGATAAGGTGCAAATAAGCTTACATTTATTCAATTGATCCTCAAAGGATAGTGACTAAAACACCACACGAGCACTACGAGTAACATACAAGTACATACGAGTAATTACGAGTCATACGGGCGCACACAGATACATATGAGTAACATAAAAGTAAAATACGAATACATGGAGTAACACACAGATAACATACGGTCAAATGTGGGCAATACGCATGAAATCTGCAAAGTAAAATACAAGAAATTGGACCTTTAACGGAAATCGTCGATTTGTTTTTCACTGCTCGGTATGGGGGGAAATTAGCATTTGAGGGTGTGTGTGTCTGCGTGTATGATGGGGGGTGGGGGGGCTGGGAAGAGACCTTCCTTAATGCTTCCTATGATCCTATTACTGCATAAAATAGCAATAACAAAACTAATAATAAATTCAAATACTATTCAATCCTGTAGGCTGAACAACAACGCTGATTTCCTACGGTTACCACCCTCCCGAGGTAATACCTGGGACAAGATCGGCCCTTGTGATCCTAGGGTGGAAAATGTTTGAAGTTTTCAGTTTTTCCCGTGGGTAGGGGGTTGGGCAACTTCAAATAACTACCCACACAAAGACTCCTGGGGCGAAACGAGATATGTATTATTTTATTATTTTTTATTATTATTTCATTATTTCTCATTTCTTTTATTTTCATTGTATTTCTTATTATTAATTTATGTTATTGCTATTTTATGCAGCAATAGGCTCACACGAAGCACACGAAAACACACCCTCAAATGCTAATTTCTCCCCACATTACCCCGTTTTGTACATATGATATCATTTGCACATTTATCGCGATTGACTACCTAAATTACCCCGACCTGCTCCCGTGCTGGTCTCGTAACTCAGTGGGTAGATCTGATTCGGAGGTCGTGGCTTCAATCCCCACTTGGTCAAATTTTCTTTGCCCCATGAGGACTCCCAAATTTCCTTTAAAAGGGTAGTAACTCAGGGGGATTAATTGTATCGGCAGTATTGCCTTCTTCCAGCACCCAAACATTTATATAAAAAAATATTATAATATATATTACGGGTGTTTCGCGGTTCACATTCTATATCTATATCATTTGAACCAATGAATACACCGAGCGGTAAAAACATATCGAGAAAGGCCCAATTTCTCGTATTTTACTTTGTTTTTACAAATCAAAGGAAAGAAAGTCAATTAAGCTTTCGCTAAAATGCATGCGATCAAAAACCATTTCCCATTTGAGTTTTGGAATGTAATTTTTTTTTTTGGATGACAAACTGCAGTTACCAGTATACATCTTGTATTACGGAGGACAGTAAGGAAATTAACCAATGTTTTTTAAAACACTTGCACACAGCCATTGTTTTGCTCCATAAATCATTTATTTTTCCAGGCTCTCGGTGCGATCTTCGTCGCCTTGTTTATTGTGACGCACAAATCGTGCAGCACCTATAATTGTTGGTGCACCTATAATTCGTGTTTAAACCTCTCGAACGTGGAGTAACCGTTTATGTCCCCCCTTTATTCCACCATTCCCCCCTCCAAAGAAATGTGAGCGCGCTTTCTTTTCTCTCTTCCCAGCCTACTTGTGACACAAATAGGCCGCTGCGGAGGAGAGAGTGCAAACAGCCATTTCAAGAAAGGTTGTCGTACAAGAGCGTAAAACCGTACGCTACAATACCGACAGGTTGTATGGGCAACGGTTATTTGCTTTTGTTTGATCGAAGCTCACAGTCTAAGCCGGAAGGAAGGAGAATCCATAAACATGCGTGCTCACGCTATCTCTCTCTATTGCGTTGAAGCAACGAGAACTTCGATCAAGCAGTGGTAAATTACTTTAACCCATAAAGCCATTTGGTATTGTCGCATACGCTTTTAAGCTTTTGTCGGACAAATATCTCGAAACAGTTGTATCCCAATAAAGTGGATTTACAAAGCTACGGAACCTAATACGATCTATATTTTCAACCGTCACCACCATTTAGTACACCAGCGTTGAAGACTACATCATCGGAAAATGAAATTTCCTTACTCGCGGTCCAATGGGAACAAACAGGGTTAGAATTGTTTTGACGTTTACTAAAAACACGCGCTTGATATAGAATGAAATAGAAATCAAAACTTTATGAATGCGGCTGGAAGTATTGCGAGTTCACTCTACCGACGTCCCATTTGCCGTCATGTCTCAAACTGGAGGTTTTCAACCCTTTAAATAGTCGAATTGTGTGCTCTTTATCGACAGACGGTGACACTTTTTTTTAAAGAATAATGACAGCGGCGGCGGAAAAAAAAGTTAAAATGCCATTCATTGTCCAATGAAATAAGCTTCCAAAGCACAGATAATAAACCAAATATAACCTAACCTTTGAAAAGGGTGTAGTAAGTCTCCAACGCAATAAACATCGTGCCTTGTAGATCTCATAATTTTGATCTACTGTAAGTGAACACCACCACCACATCTATCTCCGGAAAGTAACAGGCAAAGCAAATAGGTTGAATATACTTGAAAAACTAGAGAGGGTAAAGGACCGTGCACTTAGGTATGACATGTATTTATAGCAAAGACCCTTCATTAAGAAAGAATGCTCAATTTGATTGGTTTACAAAGCACATTAAAGGGTCGTCTCACCCAAGATATGTTAATTACGATAGACAGATGTTTTCAAAAGAAGACACCCACCACAACAGCTAATTCATTTCAAGTAAACAACACGCATCGTAATTAAAGGGGCACAACTATGCTTTGATACCTAAAGTAAGATGTACAAAACATGGTCTAAGGTCTCTTCGTTACTTCGCCGCTGTAAGGACTTGGAATTCGCTGTCGGAGACGATACGCGCCATGGCCGGCACAAGAGAAATTTAAAACTGGATTCCAGACACACAATTTACATCTAAATTATGAGGTAATCATATTACTTATTAGAGTTTTATATCTTTTATCGTGGAATAAACCCTCCTCCCCGGGGGGCAATGAATTATCAGCCAAGTATCAGTGAAGTATCGGTGAAGTGTCGGTCACGTATCGGTGAAGTACCGGTGAAGTATCGGTCATGTATCGGTCAAGTGTCGGTCATGTATCGGTCAAGTATCGGTCGTGAATCGGTCAAGTATCGGTCTAGTGTCGGTCAAGTATCGGTCAAGTATCGGTCAAGTGTCGGTCAAGTATCGGTCATGTATCGGTAAAGTATCGGTCAAGTATCGGTCAAGTATCGGTCATATATCGGTCAAGTATCGGTCGTGAATCGGTCAGGTATCGGTCAAGTGTCGGTCATGTATCGGTCATGTATCGGTCATGTATCGGTCAAGTATCGGTCGTGAATCGGTCAAGTATCGGTCAAGTATCGGTCAAGTATCGGTCAAGTAGCGGTCATGTATCGGTCAAGTATCAGTCAAGTATCGGTCATGTATCGGTCAAGTATCGGTCATGTATCGGTCAAGTATCATTCATGTATCGGTCAAGTATCAGTCAAGTATCGGTCATGTATCGGTCAAGTATCTGTCATGTATCGGTCATGTATCGGTCAAGTATCGGTCATGTATCGGTCGAGTATCGATGGTTTAAGACTATATCGGTCGACACATTTATCGGTCGACTGTCGGCCGATAGTCGGTCGATTATCGACCGATAGTCGACAGATAGTACACATGATCCCCATAGTTACTCATAACTTTCTGATTATATTTTTCCAAAATAAACTTATAAAATGGCCACCTCCCTAAAGTGCCCACTTAAGAGCGACTTGACTGTACACCTCAGACTTAGAATTACAGACAGAGATCTTTTGATTTAACGGCACAATTAAGGTATCTGATGAAAAATTTACCTCGCATCTTTGACAAAAGGAGTACATAATCCCAAAAATGTAAAATTACGTGATAAGAGATAATGTCTTTAACTCATCCAAGATGTACAATGTCTTCTTCACATCATTACTTTTTTGTAACTATTATTACAATGGTATACACCAAATAATATATATTGACTAGAGTTCTAAAATATGAAAAAACACAAACCTTGTAATTAATAAATCCAGCAACAACTTTGATCTCTAGTATGTTTATGTCAGTTGTCTTGATTTCTCCAAGAAGACTGTATGCTTGCCTGTAGTGCCTGGGGTTAAAAATTGAAAAAGTCTTACATCAATCAGCTGATGTCTGGTATGTTAATATGCAAATGTGACTAACTTGAGAGTTTAAGTTGAGAGATCTCCAAGGCAGAAAGACTGAAAATATTGGGGGAAGAAATCTGTGGCAGGAGTTGCCAATTTTGCAAACTGTGTTTGGTTGTCATAAGGCAAGGCGGAACAACTTTTCACTCTCTGTCATTTTCTTTCATAACAAAAAAGTTTGCTCCTTCTCCTCCACTGTCCTAGATCTAAACCTTGAGATACCTTGTGAAAATCCTACATAAAAAACCCGCACAAACTGCTCATTTCGGGGACAAGCATTGCTGTCAGCTGAAAGTATATTGTTTAATATTCTCACAGGGTGTCCTTTTCAAAATTTTCATTTCTATTTTTCCTCTTTATATTTTCTTTTCTCAAAAAAGTATCTCAACAGAAAGTTGGCTTACAGCCCTGAAAGTTCCTTTTCCTTCCTGACCCCTTAACCGAAAAAAAGGGGAACACTGAGATCTACCTTTTGGCCAACTAATTGTTGTCATTGCAAGATCAATAAAAAAATAAATACTGACGAACTTACTTGATAGCAGAGTGAGGGTCTTGTCTTAGCTCATTGAAAAAGGCAACCTTGAATTGGTGTCGCACCAACAATAGCTACAACAACAGTAGAGAAGCAAAATAAGAGATTTATGAATTGTTGAGGCCATGTGCAAAGCAAAATGTGGTCAGTGATGTCTTTGGTGGAATATAAGAGGGTAGCAAAAAAAAGACACTGAATGAGAAACATTTCAAAGTAACACCCTACAAAAGCTGACATCAAATTCTCTTTCCCTCAGCCTTTAACTAAATGTAGTTCTGTAGTTTGAGTAGAATCCATCACATCAAATTATTGACATAGAAAGATCATTTTTGCAAATTAAAGTTCTCACCTGATGAGTTCCTTTGTTAAGAAATTCCTAATGATCATAAAGAGCATGAAAACATAATAAGTGTCTCTTCATTCCGTAAATTGATAAAATTTTACCTTTTGTGCTACAATATAAAATTATTTTGATGGTAATTCTGGCTAGTGAAAAGGTAATCTATAGAAACATTACACGGCACTACCAGGCAAGTTATACAGGCATGTATATGACCCAGAAATTTTGGCACATTTTCCAACAGACACTTTTAGCTACTGGTACAAGTAAGTAACTAAAACAACTTGTAGTGAGTCTAAAGTTAGTTTAACCCTGTAAGTCCCACTAGTGACCAAGACAAAATTTCTCCTTACACATCAGTACAATATCACGCAGACAAGTAATGAGAATAAAGAAAAAATATCCAGTGGAGAATTATTGGATGATCCAATTCCAAATTCTCCACACAAACATCACATGAATTGTATGGCAGACAGTAAAGAGAATTACTAATGAAATCTTGAGACTGAGTTAAAGGGTTAATAGAGTCTGAGGCTTACTCATGTAAAAGCTTTTCAATTTCTTTCTACTTCACTGTCACTTTTTCCAAATAATTCTAACTAACTTAGTCTTTATTGTGTCCTGTTTTGTAACTTTTCTTCATCAGCTAGAATAAATACAATAGAAAAAATATGAAACTCTTACTAAATAAATCTTTTCTTATATTTGACAAAAGTTGGGCTTTTACAATCAGGTGCAAACTCAATGAAAACCAATCTCATCCAAATCAATTTAAAATGATAAATTTTGAACAAATACCTAATTGTGTAGCCAATCAAGTAATCTTTATGTGGAAGGACAAACAATGATTTGGCTGACAGGTCACATGCACTGCACAGTGTTGCTGCCCTCTCTAGTGCTTGTAAATCATCACCTGTGATTCATTATAATAGCATAAATTTCCTCCATGAAGGGTACTCAAATCCTTGAGTACCCTTTTTCTGAAGCATGTCAACAGGCTGGAATCTTAAATTCTTGACTCTGATTGGTTAATTGTACCCCAGTAACTGGTTCAGCTTGTTAAAATACAGTTTTACAATCATGTTTTTCTATGTGGGAAGAAACTGTGCCCTTGACCTCGATTACAGACACCAGTCTTGGGCCATACTCAAGACCTTGGGCACAGTTTTTCCCCATTTTCCAGCCCATGCCTAGCTCAATAAATGACATGTAAATAACATCATAATGCCTCTGGTAGATTTCTAAGATAGACCTGGCAGTCACTTGTGGTTTGACGTTAGCAGTGAAAACACTACACATGGATCTAAAACTCTCTACTTAATAACATCATCTTTTGACTTCTATGTATTTACTGATGTTTACCTGGAGGAAGAGGAGCATTCTTTTGGATAAGAACCACAGCAACCTTAGTGTTCTGGTCTTGAAGGCTGGTCCTGTTCAGAAATTAAAAGATTGCTTTAAATGTGTAGGATTGAAGTTATAGAATCCAAAATTATTCATTGTACTGGGTATTTTTTTTTGCATTTGATGAGTTGATGAGTTTTGTAATGTTCTTATTATAACTTACAAGTATCTGATTGTCGCTTGGTAGAGAAGGAGGTTTCCAGAGTGTCAGGAGCACTTACTGTTGTTATGACAAACTTATTTGATGGTTGTTATTTGAATTGCACTCTAAATCACAGTAATTGTTAATTAAGCTGATGATTGGACAAAAGTCATTTTCTTTTGTTAATTAAACAATTGTTTTCTGCTCAAATTTACATGTTAGTATTTACATATTATTCTGTGTGTTTATCTGTCAGAGAGCATGGAATTAAGTTTCTGAGTTGTACAATGTCCTAAAAATCAACACATACAATGGAACCCTCTTACCTAAAAATCAAACCACACTTGTCATAATACTTATTAATAATTTTCAGTCATGTCATTAGTGCTGATTAAAGTTCACTGTTATAGAGGGGTAAGATAACATTCTCACTCTCTTGTTATTACCTGACTCTTTCTAGTTTTGAAGCACATTCAGTTTGCCTGTCTTTCCACTGAACGTCATCCCAATCCAACTCATAAAACATGACCACCACAGCAGGAGAGAGATAAAGATGTTTGTGCATCCATTTTGTCTTCAAGATACCCTTTGGTATGTACCACTCATAGGTAGAACGCTACAAGGAAACAAGACTCAGTGATAAAAAGCCAGCATATACTCGCATAAGCAGAGGTCTCAGTAACACTGGTTACAGGAGGCCTACTGTTTCTGTGAGAGGTCTTACATTACTAATTGGCTATCTGCTAAGATTTTCAATGGTAGTGACCCCACTAATAGCAGTATCTGCCCTCACTTATGGAAAATATTACTGAGACTCCATGCACACCAACAAAGATAAAGGTTCACTTAAACCTTTAACTCCCAGAAGTGATTAACATGAAACTTTTCCCTATGATATCCAAACATTATTCAGCAAACAGGTAATGAGAATATTCAAACTTATCAGGTAGAAGATACTATCTTGATCTAGCATCAAGTTCTTATAACTAATTTACAAGGAAATTTGTAGCAGCTGGAGGGGAGAATTAACAATCAGATCTTAGGAGTTAAAGGGTTAACACTTCAAATCCCATGAGTGACGGAGACAGAACTTACTTTTAAAATTTCAATGCAAAATCAAGCAAACAAGCGATGAGAAAAAAGGAAAAAAAATAAATTAGAGGATTATTAGTTGATCCAATTCCAGATTTTCTGAACTAACATCCTAAGAATTGTAGGCCAGACAGTACAGAGAATTACTAAGGAAATCTTTGGAGTAAAAGGTTTAAGAAAGTCAGAACTCAAAGAAGCAAGAGAATGCTTCCTTGGGAAAAAAACCCAGGAGTATGATTGATTTGTGATAAACTCTTCTAAATGATTTTGTGGAAATCACTCGTAGAACTTTCTTTATAAAGAAAGACACCCCTTGCTGTACAAAAATAGTGTCCATTTAATCCTTTAGCATCTAATTTCTCTTTGCTATACAACCCCAGATTCAAACCTTAAGCTAAGGTCATGAGAATACAGGAAATGATCACCAACTACAGTTCTTGATTGCTTAACAAATTCTCCCCGTCAGCACCTTAGGAAATGTATTGGGAAAAGTATACTAAATAAACTATACTGAAAGAGCTTAAATGTAACCAAAATAAGAAGAATTTCACGTAATCAAAGGATTTAAGAGTGACTACACTTAAAAGCGATAGGAAAGCTCACCTTTGATTTTGCTTTGGGAAATTCGTGATCAATTGGTAGAAGTCTGAAGGATAGTGGAACTCTCTCAGGATGCCTGTTCACAGAAAAAGACTCCCAGATAGCTTTGTGCAAAGGTTTCTGATTAATATCAAGTCCCATAAGAGCTGTGAGGCCCAAAGGACGGGTCGCGAGTTCTGTCGGAAACTCGCTGGCAGCCGCCATTATTGTTTAGGCTAGAAATGTAACCTGGCCGGCTGGAACGTCGACCGATAGTGACTAAATCGGAAATATCGACTTCCGTGGACGCAGATTTTTTTTAATAGTAGTGGTTCCTTGCACTTTCCACGAGTGAATGGCTATCAGCGGTTAAGTCTGATCTATATCGGGGAATTGCGATTGTTTTGCTTGGGGATCGTTTCTTTAACGACCAGCTGTTGCTATAAAAACGTCTTCGGTCGTTTCGCCAACGTTTTAAGTTATTTCACCAACATCTCTGGTGCTTTCAGGCACTGGCGCTTCCTTTCAAATATTTCAGAGCTAATCGACTTTAAACCTGATTTGTGATGACTTTATGATAAGCGCTATAAAAGTTCTATGAATTCTCAGTAGTTCTTATTGTGTTATTGCCCAATCATAACCCTTCTTCTTCATTGTTCGCTTGGAAAATTCGTTTTACGTCTCCCGTAAGTTACGGTATTCCTTTGTGGTGCACCCTCTCCCAGGAGAAATCCCGGATTGTCCCTGTCTTCAATACCTGCCAAGTACTATTGTTTCTCAAAAGAGTCTTAACTGAAACGATTCACGTAATTATCATAAATCGAGTACCTAGTCAGTTATCGAGACGATTTTTATCGAGTCAATTCTCCCCGGTTAGCTGCGACCGATCCAAGTACGCTTTGCCTGTGTAACACTGAGGAAACGATACATTACCATTAGATGCTGCACATGCCAATGAGATATGCCATAGCATGGAATGTTCCTGTTCTGTTCTGCGTTTGAAGACCTCTTTGAACTGACTAGCAAGCCAAGCATAACGCGTTTGCAGTTTAAGTAACGAGTCTAAAGTCGCGTCATTAAGAACACTGAAAAGTGTTTGTCTTTTGTCGAGCACTTTCACATGATGAGAGGACCAGAAGTGGTTTTGTTTGTGAGTGTGATCCAATGGAAATGATGTGATTTAAAATGGAAAACATTCCATCGCGCATGCAAAATGCCTATTGTTCTCGAGACATTTACTTGCAGA